AACGCCTAGATATAAGTAGTAAAATGACAAAAAATATTCTCCGACAAACTAAAAAAACTTGAATGTCAGCTGCGAAATCATGGAAAAAGTCCAGAGAACCATCACAGGCATACCATGGTGCTAAGTGACATTCTGTACTACATGTGTTATGCATGGTTAGGACTCAGAATAAGTATTCACTCTCAGGTCCTGACAGTATTTATACATTTTTTGGTCATAAGCTTCTTACTTGTGAAAAATTCTTAATAAATTTTATTTGGGCATTTTTACTTTTATTAGACAAATTTAATTCATTTCATTATTTCTATTCCTCCACTGCAGTAATACAAATTGCATCACTTGAGGTGAATAAAATGAAAGTAAATCCTGTCTCTGTAAAAATTAACACTCTGTGTAAAGATGTTTTACTTCTTTACATTGTATCGCAGTTGTCGCTTTTGTTGAAAACTCATTCGCAAACCCAGAATTAGTCTTTCCTTGAAAAAATCAGCCTTAAGTACTTTTACGGCAAAGTCTGTAGACACTATAATTGACTGCGGTCAGCTGGTGCATGTCGTTTAAAATCATCTAAAATTAAAAAAAAAACCAACATTTTCTGACTTCTTTCTACGTGTCAGATGCATAATCCTACTTTTTAAAGTCATAATTTGAAGTTTTGAGGGTATATATGACATGTTCTTAGTATTTTACATAGAAATCTGTGTAAATTAATATCAATCTCACTTATAATTTAAAAACTGTGTGCTTTCACACAGAAAGTTCATAAAATGACATATTTTGTTGAAATATGCCTTTTAAAAATTAAAACTGCCATTAATCTGGATTTAGATGATTTTACACAATCACCTTCAAGGTATCACACCGGTAATTGTTTTCACTATATAATGCTATATAGAATAAAAAATCTTTAAAAATCAGGTATTTGAATTCATAAAAAAATATTTAGCAGGAAGTGTTAAACGTTACCCGTCACATTAGCTGACACCAATAAAAAAACAAAAAACAAAAAACAGGGTACATACATGGCATTTTCTGATTTTTTCATCAGCAAACAGGAATACCCTCAAAACAGCATGTTTTCAATGTATTTAGAAACATTGTTTGTGCACCCCAGGAAGTGGCCTCCCATGCCCTGAAAAAAATAGTTCCTGTCAAGAACCTTCAACATTTTACAAAGTACATAAAATATCCTAAGCACAGGTACCAAAAATGTAAAAATAGAAGAAGGGAAAATATAAAATTTCTCGCAACAAAAAAAATATTTATTATGTATGGAACTACATTTGACAAAGTTCGTTTTGATTGGTCAATTACCGGTGTGATATCTTGAAATCGCTTTCTGAGGATTCTAATAAAGTGATAAATATTTTCTTATACTAATTAATTTCAATTTATTTAGTTAGTTTATGTTTGAGGGTTAGTAATCATATTTATACCCCACGCAACAAGTTGCAGGGGGTATAATGTTTTTGACCCGTCAGTCCTGTTTTTTTTTTTTGTCAGCGCTACTCCTCATAAACCGCTGCACAGAATTTCGTCAAACTCTGCAGATATTTAGTACACAATGTGTAGATGTGCATATTACCAGGAAATTCCGATTCCTTTATTTTTCTGGGAATTTCGGCACTTTTCAACTTAGATTTTTGGCCATATCTTGAATATAGAGATGAACAGTTTGTCAGCGCAACTCCTTATAAACCGCTGCACAGAATTTCATCAAACTTTGCAGATATTTAGGACACATTGTGTAGATGTGCATATTACCAGGAAATTCCGATCCTTTATTTTTTCTGGGAATTTCGGCACTTTTCAACTTAGATTTTTGGCCATATCTTGAATATAGAAATAAACAGTTTGTCAGCGCAACTCCTCTTAAACTGCTGCACAGAATTCGGTCAAACTTTGCAGATATTTAGTACACAGTGTGTAGATATGCATATTATCAGGAAATTCCGATTCCATTATTTTTGCCCTAAGAGTTTTGCCTATTATTGAAGAAACTTTCCAGCAAGGTAATAAGGAAATCCACTGGAATCAGCTTTTGTAATGAAATTTTATGTGAAATATTTTATGACCTTAAAAGACCCCTATTGATTTTGAGATCAAAATATTAATGATTTAACACACAAACACAAACTCTTGGATAGTTCTCACCCCCCTCAAATTGGAGCTTTGCCTTAAATAATTTCTTAAGTACAGTATATAAACAATTTCATATGACTACATCATAATTTTGTTTCCATCAATTATTTAAATGTGTAAATTGTCATGCGTTGGACATGGACTTACACTCATTAACAAATCGAAATCATTGAGGAATTTAAATAACAGTTTGTCAGCATAACTCCTGCACTGTATTTCCTGAAACTGTGTTGGTATTTCAGACATAAGGTATAGATTTGTATATTACCAAGAAATTTTGATTCCATTATTTATCTAGAAACTTCAGCCCAATTAAATTTTAACATACACAGATTTGAATGTTCTTGTATGCAAGAAGTTTTGATGTGATGATTTTTTGCAAGTAATCCCCCTTTTTGAATTATACTGTGTATTTAAAATGCACTGTGCCATTCATTACGTGTTGCATTGTTGAGTTTTGGGGGAGCGTGGGGTATGTGAGCTTGCTCACTTTTTATTTCATTATATTTGAATGTATGATTTTGTCGCAGTCTTATCCGTGGATGTTCTTTTTTTCTTTGCATGCAAATGCATGAAGTATAATTTATGCTAGTACAATGTAGCAAATAAATTGCTGACCACTCGTAGATTAATTTATTTACATCTTTGATAAAGTTATGAAGCAGGCGACATGAATGTTCCTTGCAACAATGTAATTTGTTTTTTCTTTCTGAATGTGAGTTTGTGTAGAGGCTACTATAAATAGTATGCGACATATATTTAAAGATTGGGATTGAGGAAAATAACTTTCATTTGATGTACTATGCAGCTGCATCTTTATAAACTGTTTGACCTCTCCTCTTTTCCAAGTTTAATTCATTTCAACGTTTCAGGAGTTTTATAATCTGAAATCCTATGTGGCATCGGTCACGGTTATTGAAACTGGAACTTTTCTATACAAAAGTTTAAACTTAATTTGTAAATGCTTTACTAATTGCAGCCATTGGCAAAATTACACCTGTTGCAAAGAGTCATTATTAGCTTATCAAGTCCTGCATTGTCATTGAAAAATGACCTTTTGAAGCCTGCCAGTATCGGTGTAATTGTCTGTGCATGGTGATGACATTTTTGTTTCCTGAAATGGACAGTATAAACTGGTATAATCTTCATAAGTAATGGTAATGAATAAATTATCCTTCTGAATTATGGTGCAGTTATACATGTTTTGGATATTTAGCACATACTCCACCATTTACTGTGAATGTAAGAGTTGGGAGCAGGCCCTGATACTCAACCCTCGAAATATAAATTGTAGGAGGGTTCAGCGTTGTTTGAAAATTTTCTGTTTATTATTTTCCTATTTCTTGTATACAACGTATATTTGACATGGACAATAAGTGAGGAGTAGGAACTTTAAATCTTTACCGTGCTTCAGTGCAGATGTTTGTGCAGTTTAAGTGTACAGGCACATTATTTCTGAATGCCAATCAAGGAGTGACAGCGTTAGTAATAAATTTTATCTGGATCATCTCAAGAAACTGAAAGGTGTTTTTTTTTTCAACAAGATTCAGTTTTAAAAAGGTAGCTTTATGGGAAAAAAAAGAGATCAGGTTTCATATCAGTTGGACAGTGTTCAGCATTTGTGGACAGACTGTTTTGAATTACTCTACTTGTGTCTCTGAGGAGATTGTTAATGTTTTAAAAGGCAGAATTCATCTAAATACGAGGAATTTTGAAAGTTTGGGTATGTACACTGCATTGACTTTTAACCAGTTTGATTATGTGGAGATGACGTTTATAATCTTAGAGCGGTTAATAATGTACGTACTGATGGAAACACTTTTTTGTGACAAAACACATTATTAAGTCAGATTCTGAAATTAATTTGATTTTAACGTCTTCAGCATGCATACAGTATTTCCATAAGTAGTCTTTTCAGAAAACTCTACTTGCATTTGGGGTTAATAAAAGTCATTAATTAGCTATGATTGCATTTGATTCGCTCCCCTGCGGGAAGTAGACGAGATACAGTGTATAACGGGTCTCATTTTATCGTGCAGTACGTAATTTTTACTATCCAGCGAAAGAGGAATAAATCTTCTTGCTTAAGCTATCACTGAGCATAGTTTATGTTTTTAATGAATTGTATACCAACATTCTTTTCATTTTACTCTAAAAGTGTGCAGTTCAAACATAGAGGTTCGAATTATTTCATTTTTAAACCTATGATTTTGTATACGTGTAGGTCAGATTTAAATCCCTTTTTTTAATCAGTGTGTTTGTGGAACAAAAGTAATAATAAAAAGGTCTGTTTGTATTCACTATCAATCACCTATTTTTGACATCCTCTATTTTCTAATATTGTTCACCATTGAAAAGTCAAACTCGAAAAGAAATAGTTTTGTATTATTATACAAGTAGATATTCATCTGACCACAAATCCGTGCAATATATGATTTTAGTGTAAATGGATATGAAATACATTCTCTCAGCCAGGAGTACATAACATAAATGTGTAAACATTGTTTACATTCATTGTGTTATATGTCAAATATTTACATCCTCCGATGAAGAACAAGTGCTTGTATAAAGCAGTAGTTGTACGTTATCGTTTCCGAGCTCCATTGTTTACATCTCTTCATCTAGCGCCCCTGAGTACTTCAGGGTTAATATATTTGCCTGCATCTAGCACTTATTAATTTAAGATATGCATTCTTAGTTTCATCAATGAATAAGAAATTGTACATTATAATTATTTTTTTCCAGAGACAACGCACTACAAATGAATGAATCTACGGTCCCCTTTGCCTTGCATGTTTCTGACTGAAGAGAAAATTACACAAAAGATTATTGATTATTTCGCGTACTACGTCATAGAATTGAGAGAAATATAATTATGGGATGTAGACAATCGTCGACAGAGGGCGATGAAACCACGAAAGCAGGCTCGCTAACAAACGTCAATGAAATCATGGCGGATGCGCTCCCCGACCCTGCGCCGCCCGCACCCACTGATCCACGACTTCCGCTTGATGCAAGACAGGTGTTCAAACTTAAAAAATCATGGAAAGGAATTAAGAGATGCATGGCAGATACAGGGGTTGAAATGTTTATCAGGTAAGCATCGCCATTGATCGAAGCATATCCCTCCAATCAGGGAAGATGATACATGCGTTAGCGAAGTGTGCTATATTTTTTTTCATTGTGGTAACAAATGTAAATCGAAGTCAAACAGGTTACTTTCTCTGTTTTAATGTGGAAAGTGAAAATTCTGTTTATCTTAGATTTGTCTTAGATATGTTAATACTACATATTTAAAATGTTACATTCTCGCCTTAGTTTCCTACTAAGCGAATGTTCTTTCACTAAATTTGTCCGTGTATGTTGCGGAATGATTCAACATTATGCAGTTTTCTGGGGGAATAGACGTTAGGATTCAAAACTCTTTTGATTAACCGTTTAGAGAAATCTTAATGGAAAATTGGTATTGGAGGCGATGAAAGTCCTTCAGCACTTACTTCCTCCACAATCATAATGCTACTGGGAAGCATACATATCAGAGGAAAATAAGCTGTCATGACATGATGCATACAAAGATTTGGCATATTTCATTTTCCCCAATAAGTCGTATACCATTGTTGTTGAATTAATTAAAATAAGTCTCTTTGTATCTGAAGTCGTAACACGAATAATAAAATCATGTTTAGCCCTGAAGTCAGATTACTTTGTCTTCAAACATTTATTTAAACCTTTAACCTCTTCAATATAAAATTCCACCGAATAAAAAGAATGAACTGATTTTTTATTATTTCCATTTTCGGTAATTAATAATTATCTTTGAATGAAGATCTCAATCTTAAACCAAATAAGGACTAAAATTTTTGTTGTTTAGGTCCTAAATACAATTGGCGGATATAATAAAACCATTATGATAATAGAGAAGCGTAGCTATAAATTATTTCATTGAGCTTCATTTTGGCCCTCGTCTAAAGTGAAAATCTTTTAGTTTAATGCAACAACTTTTGCATATTAAATAACTGTGACTGTAGACCAATCTACCACGTTAATATATTAAGCCACGATATTTTTTAAAAAAAAGAAAGCTTATTGTTGAGAAACTTACTAACTAAGAAACTCCTTTATACCTACTCCAAGATCAAAGGTCAAGGACAAAAAAATGGGCCAAAAAAGGCACTTGGTCCATATACCTAATAGATGCATACCAAATATTAAGCCCTGGTAAGATGATGTCAAAATCAATAAATGATTTGAGTAATATCCAATGTAATAATTATATCGTACATGTACATGTAGTAGATAGTATGCTACACAGTTTTATGGGTGGTGGTCTTGTGCACACACTCAACTATAACAGAAGATAAGCTTGTACAAGGCACGTAATTTGACTTAAGTTTGATTATAAAGGCAAATTTGTATTAAACAACATAGAATTTTATATTGATATACAAATGTCAACAGTTATATGAGGAAAGGAAAAGAGAATACTTGATATCGCGATTACTTATGGAACTCTTTCGTGGTGGAGAAAGAAAACGTCTGATGGCTGGGGACAATGTGATATGCTGAATACAACGCGAAATCGATCATTGTTTATTTTTTAAGGACAGATAAGAAAGATCTTTCTTGCTGAACGTTCAATGAACCACGCTAATAAATTTTAAGAGGAGCTAGTCCTCATGTGTTACATTTTTGTTGATACTTTTCACTAAGCCTACTCTTAGTACTTCTTCCTGATAATCATTACTTTTGGAAGCTGGTAAAATACTCTAGACATTCTCAATTAGACAACCTACTATTTGAAGTACAGCCCTCGGCAATGCATTGTACTTTTTGCATACTGATTGTTCAAATCATTCGATTGTCACTAGCGTAAAACATGTTATGTCTCGGAAATCTTGCGAGTTTAAGAGCTTCCTCGACTTCCCCGCAAAAGAGCGGCAGTAAGTTAGATAACCGCTATATTAAGTATTATTTGCCCGAATGCGGCTTTCGTCGAATAATCACCTCTTTTCTTTGTCGCAGGGGTAGACATAGGTTTAACATTACACACAGACCCTTATATGAACAGATGGCTTTTACAACTATTGATATCTTCAAATTCAATTCTATATGCACATGTAATAATAATTTATTTTTTAACTGAAATAAAGAAGAAAAAGTCTGTAGAACAAGGGTGTCTTAAGTACACTAATAGTGCTAGGTTGTTTTCGACAGTTTTTTTTTGTTAACACAGGTTTACATGTACGCGTAAAGACAAAAGGTGATTCGTTGTACCACATTAGGATTTAGAGCACGATTAAAATTGACAGTCTTTTATGAAACATAGTGGAAAATAAGTGTCTGTAATGTAATCTTATCTAATTTAAGTTATCTATAATAGAAAACTAATGAATGGTACGCTGCTAGAAAAACTACTGAAAAGCAAAAAAGTAGAAAATCAATGTTTTTATCAGATAAAATCTTTTAATTACACGCTACAGAGAAATAAAATACATGGAAGATAACCATCATTCGTGGAGAATATTCTCATATTTCACAAGCTTTGCATTATGAATGAGTTGGTGAGAGCGTCAGTATTCTTGAAAACCCTACGTAAAAGCAGATAATCGCTGAACAGAGGAGGTGGTTGCAGCTCACAGCGACACCTTCCCCATTTACAAGTTGTCTCTTTGGCAGTTTGGTACAATTAATCGATTGGTAGTAGGCACGTACACATGATTCCTACAGGCATAGAGATTAAAAGTGAACTGTCAGGAACGTTCATTTTAGTCCAGAATGGAATTATATCAATCCCCTGTCCACGTTAGCGAGTAGAATTCGATAAAACACATAGCTATTACGTTAATAATCCTGGTTACACGGACATAGATTATGAGCTGAAGAAAATCATAATCAGACTGCAAACCGGAGGAATATATGAGCTTTTTTAAAAGCTTCTTTTAACATTTGAAATAATCGATAAAATTATTTTGCATCCATACCAATAGGCACTTGCCAAACTGCGCTTACATAGTAAGTGAAATTCTTTAAGAGTTACAAAAATGACTAGTCGCCCGTGTGGTGCAGTGGTTAGAGCGTTTGCTTCTTACGTCTCGGGTTCGAATCAAACTGCGGGACGTGGAGAACAGCCTTCGGATTAGACCGTATATACCGAGGTCCCGTGTTGCAGTAGGTGCTGACTCTAAAATGATTCCTCACTGATCAAAGGCTAATAGTGCCAAGTACAGGTCTAAATTTGCAGCCCTCCAGGCTCCACCGGCAAGTCGTGGTATCTCAATTAAGTGAAAAATTCTCGAAGTGTAGACAAACAAACAAAAATCTACCATGTCTGTAAACGCAAGTTTAAATTCAGCATTTTGGTTATGTTTTGGCTCATCATAAAAGAGACTCAGTCAAATCTTAAGCATATGGGGCTTGCATGGATATGTAATGTTGATACACTGTACCTGATGCTGCATCTGTCCTACATTTTGTACTCCATTGAAAAAGGTTGAGTGCAAGCTTAGTTAAGCATATTATGTAGGTCACTTATCGGCATGTTTCTTTGAGTATGTAAACCAATCTTGTAGGAGTGTTGCATCTCTGGATGCTGAATGTAGTGCATGCTCCGAATAATGCACCTGAGCTACATTTTATACTGCAGCGACTTCATTTAAATGCAAGGTAAATCCTAGCATTTAGGTGACTCAAGGTATATTCGAATTTAATTTGCAGATTTGCTCTGTATATAAATACTTGGTGTGATAGATGTTGAAATTGACCTACATGTACATTGTCATCCTCGCAAACCCCTAGCTTGCAAAGATGCTACATTGTATAACTCTGAACCAGTCCCAGTTTATCCAAAGCAGACCTGCACATATTAGTGTGTCTGGATGCTTAGTCTTGCACGCTTTACCTGCTACATCCAGCCTACATTTTGTTTGACTGAGATCGCATGGATAATCATCATCAGTTTCCAAAAAGTCTGGTATTCAAATATATGATGTATTCTACAAAATTTAAATAAATATTGCATCTGACTACTTCACCCTGGTTGTGTACAGCATTTAGGAAAGCTTACCACTAGAATTTACAAATCAAACATGCACACATGAAACACGAATGAATGATTTTTTTTTCTTCAGATCAATGATTGAAAATATTTTACGCTTGAATAACTCTTCACATATTTTGCCTTCTCCAGAACCACTTGGATTTCAACCAAACTAGGCAAAAAGCTTTGGTGAAGGAATTTACATTTCCTATATGAAGGGGGAAATGCCTTTAGATAAGAGAGATAAGAAATTTTGAAAAAAAAAATTGGTGGCGTCATATATATGAATAGTGTTTCAAAATTTTCTCAATAAGAACAGAGACATGAAATGCTTTCTTTGGTTGTTAATAGGGGAATTAATGTTGCAGCTGTTGCAGAAAAAATGCATAGCCCGTTTAAGCGGATTATGTAATTTTTTTCTGAAATAGTTGCAACGTTAATTCTCCTATTAACAGCCAAAGAAAGACATTTTATTGTTTATATTTAATTATATCTGTACAAATAATAATCTAAAGTAGTATTAATTAGATTAAATATTGTAATATTGATGTGTACGTCACTGTACGTTTCATTGATGGAAGAGTCACTGCTCAAGAAGTCTGTTCGGGTGATATAATTGCTAATAAATCACAATGATTTTCTTAAAAAATAAAGAAAGTATTCAGTGGATGAAATATATGGAGATAACGAACAGTATTCAAGCTCAACAGTCCATTAAACAGTACAAATCTTGGAGTAGAGCAAACACGGTCCTCAAAAAACATCAGAGGTGGGATCAGGTGCCACGGTGGAATGAGCATTCTCTGCCGACCGGTCACACCCGCCGTGTGCTCCTTGTCATAATCGGGAAATAACGGAAAAATCCGTCGAAATTTCATTGTGTAAGTAATGGCCTAACAATTAGTATGAAAAACGTCAGTCAGCATTTGACTAAATGATAAACTGTATTTGCTGACAAGGTCATTGTATCGACCATAGAACTTACGAAATGACGACTTAAACGAGACAGCTGATATTCTTGTTTCATCAACTTGTTTGTCAATAACTTACCTCGTTTTAG